GTCTCAAACACAACAACAATTGTGAAGCTGGCATAGGACTAGACAGTGTTTCATTTTGTTGTGTATAGGCAACTATGAATTGGAACTGATACAACAGCATTTAACAACAGCACCACACTAAACTCTCTTTCCATTAACTATCTACAAAATGTTGCTTCTCTTATGTTTGACCTTGATCTTGTACATAATCCACAGGCACGTGTCCCTGCTTTGAGATCTGTCCTGTGTCTCGCTTTCTGCAAAGAAACATGATGTCACGCTCTTCTCTGTACTCTCCCACATCCTGCTTTGTATTTTAACTATGCCCATGCTTGTCTTCCCTGCTATCTGTCATGGTAGGGATGGTATTTTATTCCTTGATTTGTGTTTCATAGGATTTAGCACTTACTTTCCAAATAATGGATGTTCAGTAAATATTTATTTCTGTAAATAAATCAAGGCTTCAAAATGGTTCAGTCATGGCCCAGGAAGCAAAATAAGAGCAAACCTAAATTGACAAAATTTAGGGGACCCAGAATACTAATAAGAAGGGGGAAATTATGGGTCAAATCTCTGGAGTGGAATTCTCAGGAGAGCCATAATGAACCTTTCTGGAAACTGAAGTGGGAGATTGGATTTTTGTCAGGACCATGGAGAGCAACACATATCAAGTGGTGTGGTCAGGCTCCATCTTTGAGCCAGGCATTGTTTTTTTCAACCCACTGGCTAAGAGATTTGTTATTTGTGCATCACGCACACTGCCCTTGTTTTCTAAGAGGGAGATTAAGTTTCCAGTAGGGCTTTGACAGGTAATTTTTCTCATTCCTGTTAGCAGCCCAGTTCACCCACATTTTAGCAACTCAAGTCTGTTCTAGGGCCACTCTGGTGCCATGACTGAACTAAAGTCAAGTGAGTTCAAAACTCTGATTTAACATGAGACATGAAAAACATGAGATGGTCATTTTTCTTCTCTCTCCACCACCGGCTGCCCTCAAGTCTTTTCCTGATCAGCAATGATAGTAATAGACCCAGGATAATAGTGGTAATGAGGATTCCTCTGCTGCTTCACCTTGTTGTTGTTGTTATATGCTGTGGAGTCAGTTCCAACTCATAATGACCCTGTACAGGGTTTCCGAGGCTGTAAATCTTTATGGGAGCAGAAAGCCTCATCTTTCTCCCACAGAACAGCTGGTAGTTTTGAACTGCTAACCTTAAGGTTCATAGCCCGATTCATAACCACTATGCTACCAGAGCTGCTTCATCTTAGGTCATAATAAATGCATATTGGAAAGAGGTATTGGGAATACTACAGGAGCATGCGCAACAAGAACGAGAGTGAGAGAGTTACAGCGTAGCTGTCTACACATGATGGCATCTGCTTCATAAAAATACATCACTTTTGCATGAATAGCTGAACTGAACTGTAGAAAATATTGTCCCCCATGTGCCAAAAGGAAGATCAGTGGATTGAAGAATGTCACAGAGAGAAAAGACCTTGTTGTATCTACCTTGGCAGATTATTTGTGGTTGTTGCTTCAAATGGGAATGTTTTGAAAATCAACCCAAGGACTTAAACATTTCCCTCTGAGCCCTGACTCCTCATGTGCTCTGATCCAGACAAGACATGATACACTAGATAGGGCACTTGAGCAGACTGAGCTCTAACTTCACACCTAGAGCCAGGAGCCTTGGGGCACAACTTGTTTGTACCATTGTTACTTACTGGTAAGAACTGGAGCACTATTAATGGATGTGGCTGGGGAAGTGTACAGCACTGTTAAATATGAAAAAAAATCCTAAATATATTGCACAGAAGGATCCCTGAGTTTGCAGGAAGAAAGTGAGTCCTTAGTGCACCCTTGTTGTGGTTAAGTGCTGTCGAGTCGGGTCTAACTCACAGTGATCCTGTTTAGGGTTTCCAAGGCTTTAAATTCTTAAAGGAGCAGAAAGCCTCATCTTTCTACCAAGAGAGAAGCTGGCAGGCTCAAACCATAGACCTTGTGGTTTGCAGTCTAGTACTTGTCGTGTGGAGCCACTGTGCTTCCTTAGAGTACCCTGGCAAAGCATGAATGCTGATGTTTATATTTATGTTGTCTACTTTGATGTTCAAATTGTCTAAATTTGAAGGCCTGGGCCTTTCTTCATTT